AACATTGCAATATTCGCACGACTGTGAATGAATAACAACTGTGAGTAATAACTGATACTATAACCAGTGCTACTCCATGGATACTTCGAAGAAATAAAGTCAGAATTTGACATTGAAGAAATGCAGAGTCATTCCTATTCTTATGAAACCTGTATTTTAATTATGAACATTATGCATCATTTCGTTTTTTTGTCCAATAAAACGGAGGAATTGCAACTGGCACCCGTATCCATGCCTAAAGAACGATTCTGATTCTAGAATTTATGGAGCCGTTTGCCTGCATTTCATCGCCAGCCATTGTTATGCGAACTTGTTTTTGCGTGATGATGCAATGGACAAGTCACGAGAAGGCAGCCCCAAATGTCTTGGCCGTACAAGTGCATTCGCCTTCCATTGATCTGTCTCTTTTTATTTACTTCATATGTACTAGTTCATGAGTGTAATTGTATTAATACTTTTTATATTAATCATATTTATAAGTTACTTTAAACATATTTTATTGAAATTAAGAAAAATTTTAAAACTCATTCATTTTGTTTAAAAATTTAATAATTTATCAACTTTATTTTTATTAAATAAACATATTTTAATAATATATTTTCTTTCTTTAATATTCAGTGGAGGATAAATGAAAAAATTTATGATAAAAATTTAATAAAATAACTTATAAATAAAACAAAAATATTCTCTCCCTGTCCTATACAGGACAAAAGAGAGTATTTGAAATAAGGGTATTCAAGGTTGTTCTTATTTCAGTTGGCCTATACTTATCCTGATTATGTCAGCACGGGTCTATCCCGACCTAAAAAAAATGGAGACAAGACATTTGTAGGATAGAACATGATAAGACTTAGGATTGCCTTCAAAATGTCCCGTCTCAATATTACATGTTCGCGTGCGCATGTATGTATATTCTTTTATTATATATTAATTATTATGTTATTTTTATTGTTTATTTGTTTATATTTTTTGTTTAATACTTTTATTTTCTTTTTTTAATACCTGAACAATGAACACCCCTGTCTTGTCTCATAATTATTGATATTACTTTGAGAAATTAAAAATGCAAACTCATATTATTGCCATTCAAATAATCTAATGAGTTTACTTTTTATTGTCTATTATAATCTGAGTTTATAGTCCAAATTTTAAATATAAGTTTATGACTATTCTGAGTTTATGACTTAATTTAAGATTGTATTATGAATTTATAACCTAAGTTGATGGCTAAATTATAGTTTTATGCACATTTGTTGTTTCATTCACATATGTTTGTTGCTGCCTGTTTCGATAAAACTTAATTCACATTATGAAGAAAAATAGCCACCATACACACAATCTTAGGAAAATGTAGGAGCAATAGGAGATCTTGAAAATAAAACTGTAGCTTGATCACTTGAATATACAAATAAAGGTGATTAAAGCAAGTATCAGAATATCTCAATCACGTCCCAATTTCTATCAAAACAAAATGACTTTTCTAATAGGACAGGACACAATACAAAATTTAAGTTCCAATTATTTTTTTAAAATGAAACACGAGTGTTTAGTCCTATCTCATCTTGTGAGCTCCCATAATTTCAAAGAAACAGGTACCATATGCAACAATAAATGCAATTTATACTTTGGGGTCTGATTGGTTGTGGGTGAAGGCAACGGTATTTGTTCGTATAGTGATGAAAAGCCACTTTTGTCTGGCGGGATTGTTTGTATGCTCCCTGCCACCAATTAATAACTATTCTGCCATAGGGTGGGATAATGGTGCCGCTGAGCTGGGGGACGGATTTGTAACCATGAATTGGTATAATGATTACTTCTCACAATATAAATATAAATTATAAAATAGTTAATTAATTCACAATTTATAAGTAATATTAACTGAAATCTTAAGCTCTTAAAAATGTTCGCATTTTTTTATTTATATCCTTATTAAATATTTTATATAAGAGTCTTAATAATAAGAATAATTAAAATTCAAATGTATGATTTTTTAAAAAAGAGTAATAAATAAAATAAAAAATAAATATAAAAATTATTCAGTACTCCATATTTTATATCTAATTAAATTTTTAAAAGATATATTATATTGTGGTTTGGAGGAAGTATGATGTAATGACAGTTTCTTAGTTACTAATTTATTTTGAGCTGGTTAAAAGGATGCTTCGAGCGTGACGGAGCGTGCTTAAGACGGAGGAAGGAAGGGCGGAACCAAAAATTCTGGCTGGGCTGCATTTATGACACGGTGGTTATTCGTTGGGGGAACGTGACGTGCATGATAGCTGTGCAGATTTCAAGCATTAACTGAGAAAGCAACAGATTCAGAATATTAATGAATTAGCAGCTACCTACATTCATCTCTCACAAATTTTGATTTAAATTGCATGCTCCTATACCTTATTTACCATTTTAGTATAGGTGATTGATAAGAATTCTAGGCATTTATATAAGTGATTCCTTGGAAATTATAAATTGCATGCTCCTATACTTATTTACCATTTTAGTATAGGTGATTGATAAGAATTCTAGGCATTTAGATAAGTGATTCCATGTTCAATTTCCAACTATTGCAAACATGGGCAGCACTACATTACAGGCAAGGGGCATGCACCTTGAGTTTGGAGAAAATTATAATAAAGGTTCATATATTTTAATTTTTTATTCTTCTGAACCTCTTAAATTCAATTTTAAGGATTTTGAGTTCAAAAGTTTAATTTTTTAAAATTATTGATTTCAAAAATGTTGCACTCCGTAGTCTAAGGTTCTGACACCGCCGTTGATTGCAAATGAAACAAATCAAATTTAGTAAGAAATCAAATGATATTTTGTTCTCCGTAATTTGAGAGGCATTAGTTTCTATTATCAGTGGAGTATACTCTAGTTCCATAGAAAACATATACTCTCTTTCATTCAGAAATATAAGATATTTTTTTAAAAGTTAGATATTAAAAAATATAAGGCATTTTTAATCTTTTAAAATATAATCATTGTTTTTTTTTTAAGTATTCCTATTGATAATGACTTTATATTTATTATAGGATATTTAATAAGGGTAAATATAAAAAATAGAGTTAGTTGGAAAGTAGTTAACTACTTTATTAGGGGTGAGATTCGATTAAAAATGTATTATATTTTTTAAAAAAAGGAGTATCATCTCAAATTTTCATACAAGTACGTGTTATGACTCCTATATTTTCATATCAAATGAATATTGTAAGTTTACAACTAGTGCTTCATTAACGACATGATCAATAATTGAAGAGTACTCTTTCTAATAATATTTACAGGTCACTTCTAACATTTTGATTGGAATTAAGAAAAACCTTAAACCTTATATTTTTTTTAATTTAACAAGTTTTTAACTTTATCCCTATTAAATATCTATTCTAAAAATAAAATATTATAATATTTAATGATCTTTCTAATATTGAATAGAGGTAAAAGAGTAAAGATAAACATAATAATTATTGAGATACCCTATAAATAGTACCAAAACAAATTTTCTTTTTCTGCCTTACAAATAAGATCAAGAGAGTATATTACTTGGAGCTTAACTTTGACTCAAGATGAAATACTATTATTCTTCCCATTTCATTGTATTTGTCCTTTTTCAATGGTATTTTTTTTTTCATATTACTCTCTCCATTTAATATTATAAATACTTTTAACTGAATTGTACTTCAAATGATTTAATTAATTATTTTTAAAATTATACACTCTTTTTATATTTATTTTTATTTAATAGAATATTTCAATTTAAAAAACTTTAATTAATCACACTCCTAATTGAGAGTATTTAAAAAAAATTCATCAATCACACATTAAAAAATTTAAAATATTTTATATTTTTTGAAAAAACTTGTACCCCTAATTAATTATTTTGAAAAAATGCCTTTTATTTCTTAGGGGTACAAGTTTTTTCAAAATTTCAAATTAATACTACTTCCATTAAAAATATAAAATATTTTTAACTAAATCTCATCCCCTAATAAAATAGTTAATTATTTTTCAACTAACTCTATCTTTCTATATTTATTTCTATTAAATATTCTATAATAAATATAAAATTATTATTAATAGGGACACTTTTGAAAAAAAGATAATGATTACATCTTGAAAGACTAAAAATACCTTATATTTTTTAATATTTAACTTTTTAAAAAATACATTATATTTTTAAATGGAGTGAGTACTCAATAACATTTTTCCATTTTTCATGGAATAAGTTGCTATTTATTGTATTGTAATGTTTTTAGAGGTATTAAATGAGATGCAAATTTGATAAGGTACTATCTTTGTCCCAGTTTATAAGATATTTTTAGACAATATTACATGTAACAATAAAATTTATTAAATATATTTTACAATTTTTTTAAAATAAAAATATAAAATTTTAAAAATACCTTTCATTTATTAAAAACATTAAAGAGAAAAAAATATAAAGAATTGGGTAATATTAAAAAAGTATTATTGATAAAAATTATATTTTTATTAAATATTTTTATATTTTCAAATGATGAATTTTCTTAAAAGTACATGATAATTTGGGGAATGTAGAGTGTCATATATTTACATACTCCTTTGATCCAATTTATAGGATAAAAAGAAAAAAAAATTAATCATATTTATAAGTTATTTGTTAATTTTTAGTATTTCTCTTTACATTTTTTTCTATTAAATGCTTTTAATAAAAATATCAATAATAAGATTTTAAAAATATTTATTAAGAATAAATATGAAAACTTGTTAAGCTTTAAAATAAAGTGAATGAGGTTTAAAATTTTTTTATTTCGATAAAATATGTTAAAATGATTTATGAATAAAGTTAAAGGGAGCATATACTATTTCTTTAAATTAATACTGGTAACTTAAAAGGAAATTAATTAATCAAACTAAATTCTTGAGATTAGTCGAGGGCGTATTTGGTAATTCAACTACTGGTTTGACTGGTGCTAGCTTTTTCCTTATAAATGCAGCCGGCCTTCAGAGCCGAGGACAGCACGAACACCACGCCTAGCAGTTGCGGTTTGAGAGAAGCAAAAATGGATGTGCCCACAGTGCAATATGAAGCCGTCATCACTGTGCCTCCACTGAAGATGACAGTACCACGGCGAGTTCGCCGAGTTCTGGTGAGCGATCCTAAGACGGCCGCAGAAGAGTTTCGTGGGTGTTACCAAGTGGTCATGTACTACGAGAATTTGGACGAGGAGGGGTTTGGATGGGTTCTGGCAGGGTGGATCGTGGAGTCCCTGGGCATAGCTCTATCGGAGCACCCAATGATCGCCGGCCGGCTTCAGAGGAAGGCGGAAGGAGGCGGTGGAGACCCGGAAATGGAAATTCTGTCGAATGATTGTGGCATTCGAATGGTGGAGGCTCGAATCTCCATTGCTCTCTCAGACTTTCTTGAATCCAGTGAAAAGCATAATATTGAGCACGAGCTTGTCTTCTGGAAGGATATCGACGAGCAGAGTCCCGAGTTCTCACCTCTGTTTTACATTCAGGCAAGATAGATTCCATTCATAAACATATTTTATTTATACGCTTATGGTACTTGTGAATGAGATGAGATGATCTGTGTCCAGATGACCAGCTTCAAATGTGGAGGGTATTCAATCGGCATTAGCTGCAGTCTGCTGCTGGCAGATTTTCTTGTGGTTGATAATTTCCTGAAGAAATGGGCAGACATACACAAGAACGAAGCAGTACGTAATGGGAAGACAAGAATGCCTCTATTTTACCATCCTCGTCTGAAAAATGCCGAGGCCCCTCCCCCAAATATAATTCGCCGTACGCCGTACAAGAACGGTGGTCCAAGCTTATTATTTAAAATCACTTCTGAAGATTCAGAGTTTGAGATGGAATCCGCTCGGCTTTGTGTTCAGGAGGCCGAGAAAAAGCTGCACAGAAAAATGGGGTCGGAGTTTTCTCTGTTTGTGAAAGAACCATCTGAGGTTATCAAGGTGGAGGCTTGTGAATATAGCAGACAGGCTCTAGGATTCAAGCATCAAGTCAGTTGTGCGACATGGGATGAGTTTGGAGTGTACGACATAGCGTTTCACGAAGGGAAGAGGCCTGTTCATGTGTCTCGTTGGATTGGATCGGCTTCTGAAGGAAATGTGTTGGCAGTCAAATATCCAAAGGAGGGTGTTTCCGCAGTTATGGTAGTCACACTTGCCGCTGAAAACGGCACTCTGAATTGATGCATGCGTAATGTAAGCAAGCATGAACATTTACTTGTGACCGAAATTTGGTTCTCCTGTGAAGAAACACGGACTTGTTACTATATTTTACTCGTCAAAATGTGATCTGCAGAAATTTATTACTTGGCATAAAAATAAAGAATTTATTATGTCATCTATGCACAATTAAAATTTTGTGAAGATGTGAACGGAGTTATTGAACGAAAATTTGAGGGATATGATTGCGTGAGAAAACGAATTTATTACGAGATGACTTGTTCCGATGGTTGAGCTGGGGTCTCTAATATTGCCACAACAGGCTGTTCAGCATTTAAAACCTGTTCGGTCCTCTGAGTTTTTGCTGTAAGGATGATGCGACATTCATGTTCGTGCAGCGTCAATTGTCTTACTTTCATTTGGGTGGATGACAACGACCAAAAGAAGATTAAAAACTTCTCAAAATGCCTCGGGATACCAGAGGCCCTTAATTCGTCATAATTTCAAAATAAGGTTACTTAAATACCTCAATCTAGTTATAATTATAAACATTTGTAACTTTCAAGAATTCAACATTTGTCAAGACTTATAACGTGTTACTAATTATGAGTAATGTGTGATTTTCTTTCCAATTTTTAAAATAGAACATTGTAAATTAACTTGTACAATTGTCTGCGGCTTTCATAAATCTAATTTATGAAATATTACAGCATGTAATACTAAAAATTTAGGGTTTTCGGATAAAAATAGCAAGAACTTCTTCACCGTGAGCGTGTAGTATCTTTAAGTTAATAAAGGTGTAAGGGCATCCATTCACATTTTTTGTAAAGAGGGCATCCTCCCAAGCAATTAAAATGGCTTAACATACGTTAACGCAAACTTAAAATGTTAGGTTAAAGAGTAAAAATATTCAAAAAAATTTTCTCCAAGAGCTTTTGGTGTCTCTAGATTAACAATGTTGCATGCACTTAGAAGTACATACTTGGAAAATAGTTTCTAGATTTTTTTCACTTCATGTTTGATCCCTTTTCAGGAAAATTTAATGGGATGATGCTCAAGTTCTTAGGAATTTTCGTCTTTTAACCCAAAAATTTAACCGATGCAATTATTCATGAGTTCTGATAATTTGACACCCTATCTTCCAAAATTTTGCCTTATTAATGAGTCACAATTATTTAAGCTCCAGAAATTTAACACTTATCTTATCAAAATTGCAACTTGTCATTGGTCCCACAAGAATTGTAAACTTGTTAAATAAAATTGCAACCTACCTTTCTAATTTTAAGTGGCAAGCGTGAAAATTAACTTTTAAGGCTAAAGGTATTCAGATAATCTAACTTATAAATTACAATCACTTAAACTTAAAAGGACCTTTGGGTCACGTTAAATATAATTTTCTCTCTTTTTTTTTAATGTTGATGAATTGTTTTTAAGTTTCTTCTGTTCTATTTTTAATTAAATCTTCCCCTTTATTTTCTATAAACAAAGAAGTGATTTTGCAACTTTTGAGACAAAATCTACAGTCACATTATTTGATCAGATTGATCATTTCGTTTGTTTGTTACTGAGAGCCTTTGATTGGAGAAGCCAATAAATGCGCTTAGCTCTTCAATTCCTACCCACCCACTGTGCCAGAGAAGGAGTGATTGGAATTAGGTGAGCATGATATGCAATAACGAAGAAGCGTGCAAGAAACTGTTTACCCGCTTTTACAATCTCGAATTCGCTTTCTTCACGTAATTACCTTGTGCTCCTCCACTGATCAAATGCCAAAACCCAAACCCTTCGCCAGTTTCTACTTTCCTTATCCCGCGTCCAAATTGCAGCTATGCCCTCCCATGGTAGGAATATATCCTCCCTGATCTCATTTATAAATTATTTTTATTAATTTATTAATATTAATGTAACAAGAATATAAAAAATAAAATTTAATAAAATTATAAACACAATTCTTAAAAAGTAAATAAATTATATATTATTTTTTTTATCTCTCTCTCTTGCTTTTTAAGAATAGTTTAAATATTTTATTTAAAATAAAATATCACCATCAATCTAATAACTTATAAAGTGGATCACTTCATTCTTAAAAAAGATAACTAATAAAGTAAATCAGAGGGAGTATATTTCACTCTAGCTTCACGGGTATCATTCATGTAATTACATTGTACTATCCATTGACTCAAAATATAAACATTTTTTCTCCGTTAATATTACTTCAAATTATAAGCATTTTAACATTTGTAAAAAAAATCATTTACTCATGTATTTATCAAACTAAATTTTTGTGTATGTGAATTTATAATTTTCTTCTCACTCATTATAAATTAAAACTAAAGTCAAAAGAACAAGAATAATTTGTATTTTCATAAAGATAAATATTTTATTGGCATATGAATTATTGTTAAAAAGTGCTTATGTATTTTGGACTGGAATGAGTTTCTTAGAAGTGATTGACATATCTTCCTTAGGACCTCATCAATACTTAAAAATTATTAAGTTATACTTTTCTTCAAAAAAATCAAAAAATTCCTCACAATCAAAGTACTTCTCACATATATTGTCTCTTAAAAAAAATTTGAGATTTGATATGTTCTTAGTATTATACTCCTTTCATCTTTATATAAAGAAGTTTTTTAGAACATTTTGATCCCTTAATAAAGAGGTTATCAACATATTTTTTAATAAATAAACCATTGTACCTTATTGCATTGGAAAGGGAAAAATATAAATACTCATAAGTTTACTTTAGTAAAAGAGATTTATTTTTTATTTATAATAATTAAAAAAACTGAAATATTATTATGCTTTTAAGTAAATAACTAATTTTTATTAATTTTTGTGATTCAATTAAAAACACTTCATATGTAGCAATGGAGCAAGTATAATAAAATTTATTACAACCATTTAATTAAATTGGATGATAGTTATTATGTCATGTGAGATAATTATTAAATGAGGGGACTTATATCATTTACGTTGAACAAGATTATTTCACCACGAGATTCGTGCTTCACAATCATGGTCAATTTATGTTTTCCATAATTTGTTGCATTAAGTTCTCTAAAAAAAATTATAACGTGTAAGTTATCAAGAAAATTATAACGTGTCAAATAAGTGTAACATCGTCCAACGTGAAATTTATACACCCACAATATTTTGATCTTTAAAATTAAAATTATACACTTATAAAACGTGAAATAAAAATATATAAGCAAGAATATATAAATGACAGCATTTTTCCTTATCATCGGCTTTATGAACACCCCCTGGGTTGGCGCATTAATGTTAGGCCTCTCCTGGTCTGAACCTTCAGTTTAATATGGGGCTAACCTTATTTCTTTTTTATTTTATAATGAAAACTATAACTATTAATTCATATAATTTTATAATGTTTTGTTGTTGATCCTTGTATTTTTGTCCATTGCTTTAGGTCTCTAATTTTTTTTATCTGTAACGTTAGTCATTCTATTTTTAAATATGCCAAGAAGGATGATGGTGTAACAAGTTATCAAATGTGTGACTAATATGATTTCACTACGCGTCAGATATCAAATGGAGATCATGTTTAATTTCTTTTGTTTTTATAGACTTCAAACTCATTTCTTCACCTCTTTGGTTTCATTCGCCACTCCAAGATACTATGTGTCTTTCCTGATTTTGAAGCCACTAGTTGTTATTTTTTTAATTAATGTTGATGTTGGAGTTTATTTTGTCTTTCTGTAGTTTGATACAGTCTTCAATTTCTTCTAGCTGATCCTTGTCACTCTATATTCTGCAAGTGCTGTCTCTTTCTTATTTTAACATTTAACACGAAATTTAATGCCATTAATTACATGTCAAATAATTTAATGCCATCAGTGTTGCATTATTATTTCTCTAGGCATATTTTAAAATAGACTAACATTACAGATAAGAAAAACTATAGAAACTAGAGGCAATAAAAATAAAATATACAATAACTAATGACAAAAATGATAAATACTCTTAAGTCTTAACTCTTAAATCTCTAACTAGTATTTGAGATGTGGATGGCGTAGCTTTGGTTTAGTCAAATTAAATTATTTTTTTATTTTTTAAATAATTAATAAATAATATTGATATTTAGTTATAATGAAATTACAGATTAATGTTCATTGGGCTTTGAGTTAAAAATAAATAAATTTTAGATCTAGGCAATGAAAAATAAGATTGAAGTGGGTTTAAAGTTTAAAAATATTAAAATAAGATAGTGTAAAGTATAAGAAAAGAGGGTACAAACTATAAAATATCAAAACTCATATCCATATGCATGTTATTTTCTCCAAGTTGAAGGCATGCATAAAAAAAAATTGTTATCCTTTCTCATGGATAGTGACCACATGGTTTGCCTCCACTATGCGCACAGTAATTGGCCTTTTTTAAAGTTTCATTCTTCAATACTTACTGGCTAGGTTTGTAAAAGAAGAATGTGGGACAATAACACCTTTTAATTCAGTTCTTCAAGGAGGGGAGTCACAATCTAGGCTTGAGCTTTATACCTTTGGCCGGGTCTATCTTGAGTGCTAAAGAAGCTTGGTCAATCTAATGTGTAGGCTAGAGCATGTTAAAGCATATGGTTCCATTTAACAGAATAAGGATAGGTGGTGTAATAAGGGAGATTATTGGTATTTTATATTAGCGTGTTATGAGCCGTGTCTTGTGAAATTCCTATGTCATAACTGAATGATTCTCATGAACTTATTGGTATATTTGTTGTACAATTGTATGGTTGTAGCTTGTGTGTGTATGATTAAATTTTGAGTTACTAAGATGTTAGTATTTACCCCTTTAGCATTTTTTGGTGATGGCCTAAGTAGGAATTAAGGGAAGGTGTCAGAAGAATGAGCCTTTTGCTCTTGTACTCGCCACAAAACATGCATGATTATATTTATTTTTGATATGAATATAGGATATTTTATCATTTTTAGATTATATTACCTTTCTTTTTAATTACTTTTATTGTTATTAGACTGTAGTAAAACTGGGTAGCATGATAATTCATAAACTTTTAGATTGAGATTTCTAGAATTTTGTTTGATTTTAAACTGTGATATCACAAAATTTATGTTTTGAATTAAATAAAGTGGGCAAAGCCTTTGTTATTTAACTATTGTTTCGCTAAGTGTCTAAATGGTGAGAAAGGTGTTACATACCC